ATTTCAGCGACCCTGAAGTCGGTAGGGATCTTCCTCCACTTTACTGGACGCTGATGCAGTAGGCCGATGTAGTCCTTAGACCAGCGTTTCCACAGTTGGCACAGATGGCTCGCTGTGTCATCTGGAAGTGTGATAGGCGATTAATGGGAATGCTTGAATAGTCTGGCTCGGGAAGCCAGAAGGTTGGTTCGCCCAGAAGAAAGTGTGCACGAGTGAGCACGGAGAGGTTTTCCGGATGATTGGAGAGCGGAGTTAAAGGTCGGGAATTCATGATTCCTTCCGCTTGAGCGACTGCCGTGCGAAGGTCTTCAAAGTGGTAGTGTAATGAGCCAATTATCTTGAGGAGATGGTGCTTAATGTTCTTCACCGCGTCTTCCCACAGGCCAACGCAATGTGGTGCTCTTGAAGGAATAAACTGGAGATGGATTCCTATTTCCAGGCACTCGTTAGCCCATTCATTTGACTTCAGCTACTGGACGAGTTGCTGGCGCATCTCCTTTATCTCGCGAAACGCTGAACTAGGTGCTGTTGTCGCAATGTATAACGCGAACGCGACCGACACGACTTACAAAGCGCCTCAACGAGATGATGCACGCAGCAGTTGGCATCCCGGCGACGATGTCCAGCACAACGGCTTTGACAGCGCGCCGCTAGCAAGCCTCTAATGTGAACTGGAATGGAATAGAAAATCTTTGACAGTGGTTAGTCTACATATCTATAGAAAACAACTGTTGCAAGTTTGATCAAAGTAGTCGATCGCGTATAGAAATAACGTCAAATGGAACTCGGAAGACGAAAACATATTGTGCACAAACACCTGGAAAATCTGGAGTGGTCCGGTTCCAAGCTGGCGAAAGTGCTGAAGATAGGAAAAACAACAGTTTGACAAGTGCTTAAAACCTACAAGGAAACTCTGAATGTGGAAAGGAATCAGTGGAACTTCGAAAAAATTGGAACCTATTGTACGACCGTGTTGTGACGAAACACAAGTGCTGCTCTTTGATCGATGATGAAACTCTATTTTAAGTAGCTTCCCGGTCAAAAGTTTTACATCGCGACTGGACGTGGGGATGTGCCGGGAAGATTCAAGTTCGCGTTTGCCGACAAGTTCGCGAAGAAGGTCATGATTTGGCAAGCGTTTTATAGTTGTGGCCTGAAAACGGAACCATTCGTCACATCCTCGACGATGACATCCCAAGTTTACATCGAAGAATGCCTGAAAAAGCGTGTATTGCCGTTCATCCGCAAGCATAGGGGCAAAGTCATCTTTTGGCCCGATTTGGTCAGCTGCCACTACTCCATGGAAGATGGTTCTGGAGTGGTATGCTGCCAACAAGATTGATTTTGTACCCAAGCTAATGAGTCTTCCGAATTTCCCGGAATTTCGACCAATCGAAAAATACTGGGCAATTTCAGAGCAGCGACTTCGACGAAGCGGCGGGGTAGTCAAGGACATCCAGCAAATACGGGCAAAATGGAAGAAAGCGTTGATTCCGTGTCCGTTTCCACTGTGTGGGCGCTGATGGGTTTCATGAAGAGGAAGGTTCGAGATTTCGTTTGAACTAGATAAATGTAACCATCTAATGCTGTAACTTTGAAGTTTTAACAAAAGTACTGTAAAGTAATGGACTGTTTGAACTATATCGAATTACAAGTGTTTTTGTGCGTACCAACTTACTTTTAGTCAGCCTTTACACTGCAACCCAGACTTTTACCGAAGCGCCCCTTCCCGCGAGTTGACGAACGAGAAACAGCCCACAGAAATCTAATCCCGTGTGATCAAAGACCTTTGCTGGTTCTTCTTCTTCTTCTTCTTCTTCTTCTTCTTCTTCTTCTTCTTCTTCTTCTTCTTCTTCTTCTTCTTCTTCTTCTTCTTCTTCTTCTTCTTCTTCTTCTTCTTCTTCTTCTTCTTCGCATTTCAAGCTTATTGCATATCGCATATTAGCTTATTGCGTGCTCTCAACTTAGTGTTCTAGATGCACTTCCACAGTTGTTGAGAGCTTTCGATGCCTGTACCATTTTTGCATTGATATGATTGTGTGGCAAGTCCAATCATACTTCTATGCCCAGGGAAGTCGAGAAATTTTCCGACCCGAAAAATTCCTAGACCGAATCGGGAATCGAACCCAGCCACCTCCAGCATGGTCTTGCTTTGTAGCTGCGCCTTTATCGACTGAGCTAAGGGAGGCCTTTGCTGGTGTGATACGCTCAACCGGCAACGGTGCCATGTACGGACGGCAGCGGAAACATATCAAGCAACGATGGACTGTCCTTCGACGGGCCAAAAACGCTGCTTAATCGTCGCGTGCAGTTGAGTAGGCCCGGCATGAAGAGTTTGATGATGAATTGATTTGGCAATCATTTGACTTAAATCATGGCCAGCCGGCAGAGCCATTGGAAAACGACTGTTATACGATCCTGGTAGCTTAGTGAGTCGACCGTTCAGACGCAACAGCCCCACAGAGTCACGTATTAGATCAAGATTCTTAATTGGTTACTTGAACCGAGCATCCTAGAGCACGTTTTGTCCTCGAGGTTTAGCTTCCAGGTGATGTATTTCGGATTGGAAGGATGTGCGCTAAAGCTGGGCTTAGACAGGGCAAGTCAATTGATCAAGTCAGTTGAATTCAACTGACTTGAACGTGAATTGAACGTGTAAACAATGCCAGTCTAAACCCAGCTTAAGAAAAACAAACAAGGAATTTCAGCGCATCCTCATATTCCGTTAAGCTGGGTTTAGACTAGGCAAGTCAAATGATCAACTCAGTTGAATTGGCTTGAAAAGTTGAGCCTGGTTCAACTTTTTTCAATTCAAGGGAGTTGATCAAGTCACGTTCAATTCACGTTCAAGTCAGTTGAATTCAACTGACTTGATCAATTGATTTGCCCTGTCTAAACCCAGCTTTACCGTCAGAGCGTTCCGAGTAAGTTTGGATCAGCGAATCATCTGGAGCGAGAGTAGTAGTAGTAAAATTATGTTTATTTCTGTTGATTATGATAGTACATTGATTTAAAATTTTAACTATAAGCCTACCTGACTCTTCATCTTTGTTTCATTGCTGTTCTAATTTAATATTTGCGTTTTGGACTAGTTTACAGAATACCCCTCGGGGGTGTGTTTTGGTTGCATTTAAACATATTGATAAGCTACCTACTTAATCTAATGCTTAACCTGACGTGCCAGATTCCTAATGATCAGCTGATCGGATTGCCTACAGCAATCTCTGAACCATTGGATGGTAGCTGTTCTCCGTAATTCCAGCGTCTGAAGACCAGCCAGGTGATGGTGCTTAGAGTTCCTCATTCGTGGAGGACTGGTGAGGATCATTCTCAAAAACTTGTTTTGGATCCTTTGTAATTTGAAGTGATGGGAATTTGCGATACTCTCCCAGATTGGCACCGCGTATTCTTTTACAGGAAGGATTATTTGCTTATATACAGCAAGCTTGTTCTTCAGGGACAGAGTGGATCGCCTGTTGATGAGTGGATATAAGGATCTCATCAGAATGTTACATTTGGTTTATGTTTTGTGAATGTGTTCGCTGAAAAGCAGCTTGTTGTCGAGTGTAAGGCCGAGGTATACTACCTCTTTTGACCATTCCACCATTGTGCCGTTCAAGTTGATGTTGTTATTCTCAGACGGAACAAGTCTGGGTGATTTGGAATGAGGAAAGATGATGACCTGGCTCACTGCCGCGTTGATACGGATCTTCCAGCTGTTGAAGTATTCTAACTGAACATTTAGACCTCTCTGAAGTTTGGCGGTCAGAGCTCCGATGACCCTACCCTTAAAGATGATGGATGTGTCATCTGCGAACAGTGACAACGATCCACCATCAGGAAGAGCCGGCATATCGGAGGTGAACAGGTTGAACAAAATGGGGCCAAGGATGCTTCCCTGTGGGACACCCACACCGATGTGGAAAGCATCCGATGTGATGCCATTGAGAGAGACTCTGAATGTCCTGTCCGAGAGGTAATTTTTAATTATCTTCACTAGGATGATTGGAAGACCGTATCGCTGCAATTTGTAAACCAACCCATCATGCCAAACATTGTCGAACGCTTGTTACTCGAGTGAGCTGGTGAACAGTCGAGCGTCCTTTACGGAAGCCAAACTGCTCCTCGAGCAATATGTTGTTTTCCTCGGCAGATGCCAGAAGTCGATGGTAGACTGTTCTTTCGAACAGTTTGGATAACCCCGAGAGAAGGCTGATGGGTCGGTAGCTTGAAGGAGAGGATGGATCTTTCCCAGGTTTCCGGATGGGGATGACTTTAGCTGACTTCCAGCATAAGGGGATGCAGCCAAGCCTTAGGCACTGATTAAAAATCAGTGCCAGATGGTTGAAGAATCTAGAACTCAGGTGTTTGAGTTCCAAATTCAGGATTTGGTCGAAACCTGGGGCCTTTATATTTTTAGATTATCTGGTATAGACCAACGGTTCGTCAGTCGTAATCTCACATTCCACAGGAAAATTGTTAGGAATTCGATGGAGGTTGGTTGCATTTACCGCAACTGCAGTATCGTATGGACTAGGCATGTTCAGTCCGAGATTATGCGAGTTGACGAAGCCTTCTCTTCAGAGGTTATCAGATGAGCAACTGAATCATTGGGTTGATTCAACGGCACAAGTGGAGGAATGGGTCTTGACTTATTTTTAAGGATTTTGGTTACCTTAGCAACACACTTGTCACTGAACAATTGTGGTTACTTGTGTTCAACTTATTCCAGTCACAATCAAGTTGCAGCAACTCATTGTGGTGGAAGTGTGTTGCTTGGGTAGCTTCCAGAAAGGCTTTGGACAATCTGGGAGAGAGCTCATTTTGTTACTAAAGTCCTCATTTCTGAGGTCCATCATCCTGGCTTGGATTATTTTTGTTAGACGGTTGCAATGAGTCTTGAAGGCAGGCAGTTCAGTACGTTGGTACTGCCTACGCATGGTGTTACGGAGTCTGATTAAGTTTTTAGTGGGACTATCAAGGTTCAGAGTATTGCTCACCTGTCTGGATACAGGCACGTGTTGCTCCCTGGCTTGGGATATCGCCTCCTCCAAGGAACGCAGGCATCGGTCAACGTCTTCGGGGGTGTCCGGATGTACTTCGTGGTCGACGGAGGTGTCAATACCAATGCTTGGAATCGATTCCATTCAACATGATGGTAGTTTCGCCGGGATGCTTGAAATCTATTAGCCAAGAAGCCTTCTTCAGCCACCACCGGGTATTGGTCCGAGCTCAGCTCCTGGAATGCCACAGGTTGCGAGATGTTGTGTCCCATGTTGCTTACGAAGATTTTGATGGTCGCATGAACCCCAGACCAACTTAACCGGGTGGGAGTGCCAAGATGGTATAGAGGCCCTCTTGCAGGTCTTCACTCAGGATGGTGTCGTTTCGATTGCTCCGACCGTTGCCCCAAGTTTGGTGTTTTGCGTTTAGGTCGCCAGCGATGATGAAGTTTTCGCTCCTCCGGGTGAGTTTGATGATGTCTTTCCGGAGGGCCACTGACGACCCGTCCCTGATGTTGGTTTGATTGGGGCAGCAGACCGAGATGATGGCGATTGGGCCAAGTGATGTGTTCACCTCCGCTCCGATGGCTTCAATTGTTTTCAGCTGGAAGCTTGGCAGTAGCCAGCAACAGATGTTCCGTCTTGCAGCGATGGCCGCTCCCCCACCCCCGGATCTGGTGCGGTCAAGTCTGATGAGCCGGAACTCGGGAAAGAATACGTTCAGCATCTGGAGCGAGAAGTGCAACTGATGCCTTTCGTTCCATCGCTTGGTGCGAAACCATCAAGATAAAGATAAGACTTGTGCTGGCCAATCTGCCTGTGAGAGGGACAAGTAATGAGGCCCATGTCACCAAAGCTGGTCTATGTTGAAAATGGTCTCTGCTCCTCTCGAAATGCGGTCTGCGGGATTATCCGTAGTAGGGACGTGTCACCACTGGCAACCATGAGTACGCCGTTGAATTTCTGCAATCCGGTATGACACGAACACCTTCCACGTTGTAGGAGGAGAGGTGCTGCTAATAGACTTCCCAAGACAGCAGCACAGAGATCCAAACGAGGGATGGTGAGGCACCTAGCTGGAGCTACACGAAACTTTGCTACAAGTAGGTGGCAGGTCCTACGCCTGTTGACACGGCGTACATACAACACCCATATTCCTTTGCAGAAGCGTCCGTGAAGCAGTGTAGTTCATAATAAGTTGATGTGAAGCTGAGAACCCATCTAGGTACACGGAAGCTTCGTAATTCTTCAATCGATGCTCGGAAGGATAGCCACTATGCTTGTAACTTCTCTGGAAGTTGATCCAGGAGGTATTCCAGGTAAGTATTAGGTTAGTATTTCCGTAAAGTAAAGATCTGCAACAGATGTTGATTGGGTAAAATCAAAATGAATCCATTTAAAAACATAATTTGAAATAACACAAAAACTTTTGAAGCAAGAACTTCAATCGGGAGGGTAACCAATCGATTTAAGAATTTCATTCCCGGATTATGCCAGGTTTTTCCCGGTTTAAAAAAAAAGTTCTTCTTTTTCTTATTCGCATTTATAGCTAACAGCTTACTGCATATTAGCTTAGCGTTCTAAATGCACTTCCTCAGCTTTCGACAGCTTTCGATGCCAATACTAATGCATGAATTTGTATATTGTGTGGCAAGCACACTCTATGCCCATGAAAGTCGAGAAAATTTCCAACCTGAAAGCTTCCCTCAACCGGACCGGGAATCGAACCCGCCGCCTCCGGCTAGGTAATACCGTGCCATTACTGACTAGGCTTTAAGGCCCCGCAAAAAATAGTGCTCCCGGTTTAATGGAAGCAGCACAAAAGGATGAAAGGAAAGATTACGGCATGGGTGATTTTAGTTTATGGACAGCCAAGCATTCAAACCAAAGGAATTCTGAGGACAGTTTCAAGTGAATACAAATAATAATTCCTTGGTAATCGAATTCTCAGGACAGTTCCAATAAATTATTTGCAGAATATTTAACTTATTCTGATGATATTTTCAATAAAAACTGATCAGCACTCCAGGGAGATTCAGAAGAGAGTTCCAAGGGAAAAATGTCAAAATTGGTGTTTGCCTCAAGTCCGGCCGGTACAAGATGCAGGGGTGGTTGGACTAAGTGGAGCAAGTTCTAGGAAGTGTGGGACGCTCAAGCCACCACTGTACAGCAAGTGAAGTCTCAGCTAAGGACGCTGGACCAGGAACGGTTAGGTGCGGTAATGTAACCAGACAGGACGTGTGATCCACGGTAGGACACATTTATCAAGAATGTCGAGGAACGCCTCTGTGTTCACATTTCCAGATTTTTAAAATTTGTGAGACTATGTACTATTTTTTTACTTTTTTAACTAGTTCGTTTATTTGGAAGGCTCAATCGCGTTAGCTTTACGGAGCCGATAATTCATTGTTCTTAGTTTGTAACAATATTCACTTAATTATATGTCTAGTAGGAATTGGGCCGAATAAACGCAGCTTACTCGAGGTTAGAGAGGTACATTGTTGAAGGATAGGATCAGGGGAGGAGCTTGGGGGTAAGGTTTCGTTGTCTCATCAGAGCGTTGGCACCAGTATAAACGGTAGTGTGGTTCTAGTTTCGTCTGGGGTTCGACCGGCTATGGTGGGCAGTGGGCGACGATGACACTCATCGAGACGGGGGGACAATACAAACAAAAACTATTAAAGAGAGACAAAAGACAAAGGAATTAAATTCTTATACTAGACATTTCAAAACACATAAACCGACTGCATATAGCAGAGATCGCGGGTACCCAACACATCTCTGATAGGGATATAGGGTTGTCTTTCTGGAGGGTATTCAAAAGTCTCTCTCTGGCGGCGTACATTGCCAAACTGCGTGATCGATGTCATCGTAACCGTTTCCACACCGACAGATGTTGCTGTTCACGAGGATTATTCTATTGAGATGAGCATCTAGCGAGTAGTGGTTGGACATAAGTCTACTCATCACGCGAATGAAGTCACGACTTAAGTCCAAGCCTTTAAACCACGCTCTCGAAGAAACATTAGGAATAATTTAATGTTACCACCGTCCAAGATTTCCATTGTCCCAATCGGTTTGCCAACTCGAAAGGATACTGTGTCGCACTAAATGGTAAAATTCATCGTGTGAAATTTGCCTGTCAAAATTCGCTTCCCTGCGCGCCCATTTTTGCGAGAGAGTCTGCCTTCTCATTGCCTGGGATTGAGCAATGTGAGGGGATCCAAACAAAGGTACTCATATATGATCTTTCGACCAGTACACTCATCTGCTCCTTTACCTTTGAAAGGAAATAAGATGAGTACCTACTTGGTTTCATCGACCGAATAGCCTCAATCGAACTGAGACTATCCGAGAAGATGAAGTAATGGTCTGCGGGCATGTTGGAAATCATCCCCAATGCGAAGTTGATTGCTGCCAGCTCAGCAACAAAAACGGAACAAGGTTCCTGGAGTTTGTGGGATAATAATGGTTCGAAGTTGATCTGGAATCCCATGAATAACTTGTTTCATGGTCAGAATTTCTTCAAAATTTTCAATTATAAGTGTGCTTATCACTCCGCATTTGATTAGTATTCTGAGAGAGAGCTCCCAGAAACGGTTCTGGGGGGGTGTTACTCCTGCCAGAACCTCGAGACTCATGTTATGCGTTGAGCGCATACAGCCAAGAGCAATACGCAGACAACGATATTGAATTCGTTCCAATTTTATTAGGTGACATTTTCTTGCGGAGAGAAAGCAGAAAGAGCCGTTCTCTAGAACAGAGAGAATAGTTGTTTTATAGATATTTTTTTTACTTGTAGGCAATAAAACGGATAATTCGGATACCACATCATCAAAACTACACGTTTCCTTCATTTTTGATATCTAAATTTATTTCACTTTCGTATTGCTTTTTCCACTTGTTTTCATTCAGTGTTTCAATTTTACAACGGTTTTCTCTTGTTTTACAGATACTTAATAGGTTTACTTATCAATTTAATCTTTTTCTCACTCACTCTGCCTCGTTCTCAACTGTTCGCCGTTTTTACCATTTCCAGCTTCCTATTTCTCCGCATGCTCCCCCTTTCTTCTTTTCGCTACTCGAATAAAACTTCCATCTTCCAAGCACTCTTACAAAAATCGCTCGCTCTGCGGTACGTTTCTGAGCTCTCTACGGGTGCCCAACTGCGTGAGTGTGTGTGTGTATGTGTGTGTTGTATATGAACTACTGTTACTCGAGTGGATGCTTTCCGTCTCTCACATGGTTGTTTTTTTTGGTTTGTTTACTTTCCTATGACCTTAAGACTTCTACTGGTTTTTCGTTTTAGGATTTTTTTTTTCTGGACAATAAACATTTCCTTTTTCTAAATGTCACAAATTTCTTCGTTATCGGATTTGGTTTGTCTCACTACTAATGTTTCTGTTTTCTCCTCGTAACAAAATATCGACAACACAAGAACGTCAAGCTAAACTATTCTCAGCATTTGGCTCGTCTTCTTCCTCAGTGTGGTTTCCGTTCACTATGACTCCTTTATTATTATTTCCGGCAGAAATTAAAAAAAAAACTGAATTTTCCGTCCTTTGTCGGCAGCTTGCTGGCTGATGCCGTCGACGTCTTCGTGTGGGGATGTTTGGTTATAATTCTCTCATTTAAATATAATTTAATTTTCAACTGGGTGCAACGATGCTGCCTGTTAAAATTAGAATCGTTTTTTTCGCCTTCGCAAGCAAAGCTGGATGAATGAAAAATAAAAAAAATGCACGCGAATCGAAACACAAAAGCTTGGGATTTTAGCTCCGGTTTTTGCACTCGTTCTCCGAAAGGTTTTCTTTTGGGCTTCCTCTGTGTACTGCTGCTAGTTTTATTCTATTTTGCATTAGGATTTTTTGCTGTTTGATTTTTCTTCTTTTGTTTGCTTGCCTTCTTTTTCATACTGTGGGTGAGTGTCTGATTTTGGTCTTTTCATCTAATATTTTATCGCTTTTTATTGTGCTAGTGGTAGTTTAGTATTATTTTCCATGCATCTTTTTTTTTTATTCTTTTAGTTGTGGTGTGTGTTTCCGCTATTTAACTATTCAGTATTTTTTTTTATTTAGCTGTTCTGCTTCTTAATGTTGAATTTATATGTTGCTCTTTTTTCAGTTAAAAAAGCGCTAAACTTTATGTGGAGCGTTGTAGATTTTTTTTTCTGGATGGAAGGAATTCTCTTCTGTTATTCTCTAGCTATATTTTATTCTTGTGAGACACTGAAAGAGGTAGGATTCTTCAGAGGATAGTTAGAGATGAACCC